CAGCAACAAAAATAAATAAGTGGGATCTAATCAAATTAAAAAGCTTCTGCACTGCTAAGAACAGTCTTTTAAAATAACTAGCTAAATTTCCTCAGGTACTTTTCTCATTCTCTGCTCTTCTGATTTTTTCTGCTTTTATAATTTTCAAATGTCTGATTCCTGTGCAACTTACTTTGTTATAGGGAGAAAAGGTCTCATTGGGAAACAGTGGCCGGAGGATTCTATTTCTGTCTTTGCTCCCTAGACATTAATGATTGTTGGGTGGGGGGTGTTTCCACAGGGACGACCTGGCCCAGCTGCCCTTCCTCACCATGTGCATTAAGGAGAGTCTGCGCCTGCACCCTCCAGTCCCATTGATCCCGCGACGCTGCACCCAGGACATTGTGCTCCCAGATGGCCGGGCCATCCCCAAAGGTGCCCAAAACGCAGGGGGAGGAGCCTACTGGGCAGGAAGAGGGGCCCATCAGGCGGTGGGGCCCTGTCTGGACTGCTCCCTCCTCTCCCACAGGTGTGATCTGTGTCATCAATATTTTCGGGACCCATCACAACCCAGCTGTATGGCCGGACCCTGAGGTGCTACCTGACCCCCCATTTTACCCATTCCAGGGGTCCTACAGAGGGAAGGGCTTCGACAGGGAAATCCGAGGTCTTCTCTCTCCCCCACTACCAGACACTCTCATCTGTCTCTCCAAGGCTGGCTGTCCTGGGGGACCCACCCAGCAAGCCTGTCTCCCTCTCATCCCCAGGTGTATGACCCCTCCCGCTTTGACCCAGAAAACGTCAAGGAGAGGTCACCTCTGGCTTTTATTTCATTCTCCGCAGGGCCCAGGTAAGGGTGGAGTGTGGCCCAGGCAGGAATGGGGTGCAGGATGGGTGCAGGGGTCTGGGCATGAGGATGGGAAAAGCTGGGGCGAAGGGGAGCTGCAGATGGTCACAGTTTCAGCTCTCCTTCCCTGCCCCCTCCCGAGGTCAAGGGCAAAGGTCCATAGAATGGGGTCCTGAGAGGGGACCCTTCCGCTGTCTGCTGTTGTGAGTTGGGGGCTGCAGTCTGGGCCAGGCTCAGGGGTTATGCAGTCCCATACTGTGTGTGTGTGTGTGTGTGTGTGTGTGTGTGTGTGTGTGTGTTGTGGGGGGCTGTCCAGGGCGTACTTAGCTCCTCTCTCTGCCCCTCAAGCTGCTCTGGGTCGGGGTGGGGGTCGCAGGCCAGGTTGCAGGTGCGATGAGGGCACGGTACTCAGAGTCCCCGCCCACACCCCCAGGAACTGCATCGGGCAGACGTTCGCCATGACCGAGATGAAGGTGGTCCTGGCGCTCACGCTGCTGCGCTTCCGCGTCCTGCCCGACGACACGGAGCCGCGCAGGAAGATGGACGTGATCATGCGCGCAGAGGGCGGCCTCTGGCTGCGGGTGGAGCCGCTGGAGGCGGGCCAGCAGTGACCCCTCTGCCCCATCCACTTACCTTTGCAGATTCCCGGGAATAAAACTGTGCTGTCACCTCTGCCTGAGCTTCTTTGAAAACCAGCAGGGGATGCTTGGGGACTACAGGGATCCAGGGGTGGGACTCGGTGGGTGGAGCCGGTGCTGGGGTCTCTGAGCTGGACACCCTGACCACCTCTCTGGCTGACCACAGCGCTCCTGTGCCAATCTCTGGTTCTCTCAGAGCCCAAGTATGGACTTTACTCTGTAGGCAATAGGGAGCCATGGGAGGTGTTTGAGCAGGAGAGGGACCAGGGTTAAGGACAAATTTAAGGGGCAAGGTTGAGGCTCTGAGTCAGGAGGAAAAACAGTAGGGGAAGATCCCTTAGTCTGGGCTGCAGGTGCTCCTGCCAAGACAGAGCCCCCTGCCCAGCACACAACACAGTGTGGAAGGGCCTGCAGCTTTCACCCTGACAGCTCTCTCAGACTGTTGGTTCCCTTCCTGCTCTAGTCGACATCCCACCCCTGTGTCTGCCCTTCCCAGGTAGTCCCATCCGTGAGCACTTCCCCTATCTTCAAGGAGTCCCTCCTTTCCTCTTCTGGGCCCCTGATGCTGCCCGGGCAGCCTGGACAACACACACTGACTGAGCCCACTCAGGATCTTCCACAGGAGCGTCAGGGGAGGCTCCTCCCCACCCCCTCACCTGCAGTCCCTCCTTCATTCCCATCACAGGCCTCCCGGGCCCATCTTCGGTGGGGTGGGGGCAGCGCCATCCCATTTGAATGTTGAGATTCAAAGCCAGACCCCTGCACACAAACACCAACCCCAGCATGGGATATGGAGTCTGGCTTCTTGGGCTCATCTCTCGGCTCTGCTGTGTGACTTGGGGAAGTTAATGTCCATCTCTGTGCCTGCGTTTCCTCAACCATATAATGGGGACAGCACTACCTACCTCAGGACTGTCCTGAGGGCTAAATACAAAGGACAGAGCTCTGTCTAGTGCACAGTTAATGCTCGATAAATGTGGCCACATCACTGCCTCTCTCAGAAACTCTGTTGAAGCGTGCTGCCTTTCGAGGTAGTTGTTCCTGCCACGACTTTTAAGAGTGCGCCTTGGAACTCAGACACAGGAATTGCAAGGTTTGTGCTCGTCGAATCAGGTCTTTCCCCTCCAGGCTGTGCATACAGGAAGCAGTTATTTCTGAGAGTGATGGGCCACCTGAAGGTGCCAGGAGGTGGTGAATGACAGTAACCTTAGTTAACGTCTCAAAATATTGCCCTGCTGCAAATGCTGATCTCTTCGTAGCCTGAGGGACTCGGCACCACTGAGCCCTGCTGAGTCCTCGAATCCCTCCAGTTGCACTCGGTCACCCTGGCCTTGATCCTTTCCTCCTAATAGATTATCTTTCCTTGTCTGGGGGTTGGTGCGTTGCCTTTGCACCTTTGGCAAAGATCCGTTGCCTGTCCTTCCGGGAGTGTGTTTTCTGTGCTTCCTATCCAGTTTCATTGTCTTTCACCAAGACCATGATGTCTAGACGACTGTAGCTTTGCTCTGTCTTGAAGTTGGAGAGTGCCAGTCCTCCAACTTCGTTCTACTCCTTCAATACAGTCTTGCCTAATGTGGGTCTTTTGTCTCTCCATATACATTTTAGAATTAGTTTTTTGGTATCCACAAAATAACTTCCTGAGATTTCTGTTGGGATCGTATTGAATCTATAGATGAAGTCATGAAGAACTCATGTTCTGACAACATTGAGTTTTCCTGTTTTTCAAGAAATTCTCAAGGAGCGCTGTGGAGCCCGGGCTGGCTTCAAACCCCACAGTGCGCAGGGACCAGGATCTGGCTCAGAGCGCCCCTGCTTCAGGAAAACAAGGCGCTGTGGGAAAGGTGGCTGCCCTCTCGCCCATCATGTAAAGCACAGTCTTGGGAACCTGGTGCTAAACCATTCCTAGAAGATTCACTTCTGCTTGAGGCTTTCACACCCAGCAGAGAGCTCCCTTGGTGGGATCTATGGAAACTCAGCCATTGACTCAGGGTTTGTCCCGCTGCCCCTTGAGTGTCTATGCATCCACCGTTCATCCTTCTCTCTGCCCCCGGGGGCTCTATAGTACGTGCCCTAGAAGGACATGCTGAAATTTCGGCACAATCGTGTGAACAGCACTTGGAGGGAACAGGCATGGCTATCGTGTTATGGGCTATTTGTTACGTGGGATAGTGGGATGGTGGTTGTATCTTTCAAAGAAAGGGTTACGTGTCAGAGAGCCATACTCAAGTCATTGTGGGTTGAGTAATACAGAGCTTGGCATTTTCTTACCAATACTGTAGCCCATTCATGGCAGGGTTACAGACGAAACAGAATTGGTTTAGTGTTTACAGCTATTGAGACATCAAAAATCATTATGTTTTTCTTCTACTTTTGTGTCTATTGGAAATTTCCACATAAAATTTAATCAATGTGCTTTATCTATTATTATGTTAGATGCACACATAGCAATGTAAGTGAATTTTAAAAATATTATCAAGTGAAAAAAGCAAAAAATATGAACTCTGTAGCGAAATTCCATTTGAGCACATTAAAAATATATGTACATAAAACTATCATGTATGAACCAGTAAGGATGGACACATGCCATTTGTCAAAATTCATAGAATGTGAAATGCAAAAAGTGAACCCTGATGTAAACTGTGGAACTCGGTTAATAATAATGTATCAATACTGGTTCACCAATTGTAACACACGCACCACTCTAATGCAAGATGTAAATAATAGGGAAACTCTTATTTACGGGGATGAGGGAAATCTCTGTGCTTTCTCATCAATATTTCTACAAACCTAAAATTTCTCTAATAAATAAGTCCATTCGTTTAAAGTAATTTTAAAACATATGTGCACATAAAGAGCAATGTGCATCTTACAAAAACATATGCAAATCAAAAAGTTCAGTATTGTGAACTAAAATAAAATTTTAAGGCTCACCCTCCACCGGCTGACTAAATGGATCCCCTCGTGGCCAAAGGAATATCCTAAAACTAAATTGTCTCCCAAGAGGAAGGTCAGACATGCCTTATCATGCCCCCTCCCCTTCTTAGGGACATCCTTTGTAACCCATTAAGAGGCCTAAGGGTATTGAAGACTAAGCTCTGATCTTTTTCTTTTGCTCAAAATTCCTTCCTAAGGAGGCCAGATGAGTCATGCCTACAAATGATAAAATCTCAGTAAACAGGTTTTCCATGACATTGTTTACTTCCCAAACTGATTCTGGTATAACATCATGTAATAGATAAAAGACCCTCAAACATTCCTTTCCGCTGATTCCTGGTCTTTTGGACACAACCTAACTCTTTCAGCCAATGATCAACTAATGAGTCCCTAAAGCTACCTATGATTTGTAAGCCCCTGCTTTGAAATGTCCCACCTTTTTGGGCCAAACCAATGTATGCCTCCCATGTATTGATTTATGACTTTACCTGTAACCCCTGTCTCCCTGAAATGTATAAAACCAAACTGTAACCCAGCCACACCGAGTCCACTGCTCAAGACCTCTTGGGTGTGGCTCCGGGTCATGGTCCTCGAATTTGGCTCAGAGTAAATCTCTTTAAAATTATTTTACAGAGTTTGGCCTTTTTTCTGCTGACAGTATCTTAGATTGTCTGTCAAAAAACAGAGAAGGGAAATGGAGTGACAGAAAGGTGATCAATAAATGAAATAAGAAAAGGATCTTTTGAAAACCCATGGTCATCAAAAATCACAAACTGGAAAGGTGGACTCAAACCTCCGCACCTGAACTCTACCAGAAAATAAACAAAAATACTTTTACAAATACCTTGAGCCACTTCGCTAAGAAGAGTTGCTAAATCCTTGGCTCCAGGACAGGACCACCCACAATTTCTCTTTGTGGTCTTATCAGGGATTTGTCTCCCAAGTATTCCCCCAGCAGGGGTCAGCCTACAGCTTGGAGGACACAGAATCACTTGGAAGATGAGGAACCTCAGAGGAACAAGGACCAAGCATCCCACGTGGGAATACTGCACTTAACACCTGGCGGGAAAAGTCTCTGAGCACCCAGTCACCCTGCTCAGAAATCACGCACCAGCATCAGCTCCCTCTGTCCCTCACCCTCCCAGCACTGGGCGTCCTCTCTCCCTGCTACACAGCTCTCCCTTTTCTCCCCTCCCCTCCAGCCTCCTGGCCCCATCCTCTCCCCCTGAGACCCCTCCCCACGCTCCTTCTCTGCAGCCGCTCCACTCTGGCTTCCAGAGAGAATATTCTGAAACACACACAAGCCATAGAGTCATCAGACCCAGGGCTCCAACGCCAGCTCCCACTGTGTGACTTTGGAGAAAGAGCTTTCCAGTTCTGAGCGTTCTCTGCCCAACTGGAAAATGGGGGTAACCGGAGAACTGCCTTCAGATACCACCAGGATTCAGGTAAAGGGCTCAGGGTTCACCTCACAAACGGAGTCATCACTGAGTCCGATATCGTTTTCGGTCTTCTGAGCTGGTTTCTTTGCATCCATCGGTACCAGATGTCACTGACTGGCCCCATTCTAGGGGGCTCTGCCTCCAGCAGGGCGCTGAGAACCTCTGGTAATGTCACGACAGTTCCCCCAGGGGCCGATCCAACTGTCACCCTCTCCCCAAGCCCCTGCATCACCCCTGCGGTCTGCCTTCCCACCTCCTGCTGGGTAGAGCACCCAGGGCTCTAGGGGCTGGACTCCCCCAACTGCTCTGACAGGCTAGAGAACTCGGTCCACTCTGGTCTCACTGAGGATGGCCCACACACAGGTGCTGAGCAAACACCTCACAGCTCGGGAACCCGCCCAGCTCCACCCACCTTCCCCACGTCTTCCCACCCGGGTTAGCAGGGACACAACAGCGAAGGCAAAACACACCTGGAACAGGGCTTCTCGACCTCGGCACCAGTGACATTTGGGGCTGGGCCATTACGGCGGGGGCTGCCCTGTGCGTTGTGTGACATTTAGCAGCATCCCTGGCCTCAAACCAGGAGATGCCGGAAGAAACACACCCCAAGTCATGACAACCAAAGTGTCTCCAGACGTGGCCAAATGTCCCCTGAGGG